GTCCATTTGATTGGCTTGGGAACCATCCAGGGGATTACTAAAACGTAGTTCTGGATATCTCTGTGTAGGCCATGGAGGGATCTATACCTGTTCCCTTGTCCCTTCCTCTCTGGCACCATTCCCTTGCTTTCATTCCTAGCTGCAATGAGCTAAACATCTTTCCTCTGCCGTGTGCCTCCAACATGATATTTCTCTCTTGGAGCCAGCCAACCATGGACTGAATGCCCTGAAACCCTGAAGAAATTAAACATCTTTTTAAAGTTGTGGGTGTTAAGTATTGTGTTTGAGTGATGGGGAAAGCTGACTAATACAGAAGTGCAAGTTGTGTAACGAGATGGGTAAAACCAAGCTGAGACATTACATTCTGGAAGTTACTCCTGTTGTTACTGAGTAGGTCCTGAGCACCAGGTACTATTCAAGGGGTATGGGTCCAATTTGGAAAAAAAAAAAAACAAATCAAAGTCTTTACCTCCATAGGTCTGAGAACCTAGTGAATGTGCAGACAAGGCAATAAAGGACATGCATTCAAGTAATGGTAAATGAAATAGGGAAAATAAAGATGATAGAGATTTCCTGGAAACTCTGGACTGCATTGGGATGGAGAGAAGCCAGCCCTGAAGTATCCAGATTCCATCTCTGTGCTGGGGGAATATAGTAAGTACGTGCAGACCCTCTGCTCCTGCATTTGAGGAACAACTAATATCATATCCTCAGAAGAGGGTGGGCAAGAGAAAGAAAGGTTGTCATTAGGAAATGGGTCAAATGAGGAGTTTATATTATTCTCAGGATTTCAAAAAAAAACATTCCTCCCCGATGGGGCTCATGTTTGGTAAGAATGGGCTGGGTTTGGTTTTTCAGCCTACTATTCATCTTTGGTATTCTGCATGCAATCACTGCCCCACTCAGAAATGTAGCTGCCTCCTCCCTGAGGAGCAGACAGTAATTGGTAGGACTGCTGTAGAAACTAAGCTTCAAAACCTTTGGGGAGGTGCCTGGCACAGAGTCAATGCCTGCTCCTCAAACACGGAAACCAAGCCACCAGTGAGAAAAGATTTGGGGATCCTTGGACCAGTTTTTATAAAGATCACCACGGTGGACTGGGTATGAACTCCATAGAGAAATGAAAGGATTGATTTCATGCACACTGTGAGGCTCATTTATCTGTTTTCATTCAGTTACTTGGGGGACAATAGTCCTATGGTTGTTAAAATAATGTTGCAGTGTTTCCTTTCCTGAGTACTGATGGCCATTATCCACGTGCAGAACAAATGCCCATTTAGGGAGGAGATGGAGGCAAGTTTTTTTTGCCACTATTCGTGAATTTCAGAGGAAGAGAAACAAGTTGTGAAAGTTGAGAGGCAGGCCTGGCATAGGTGTTTTGTTGGAGGTACACTTTTGATGATGCCATGTCCCAGTGCCACCCCACAAAACTCCACTTTAGCTAACATGCCCACCAGGTCTAGCCAGCCTGGAACTCATTGATAAAGCATAAGCAGGTGCGAGGCCTGTGTCCTCTGAGTAAGTTAGGCAGACTTCATTGGCCCTGGCTCTTCTTTTCATTATACTTGCTATTACAGGAGCTGATGTTTTTCTTAAAACCTGTTAACCTTATACACAGTGATGAGACCATTTGAGCTCTTAGACAGGAAGCTGATGGGAAATTGCAAACCCTTAAAATAGGTTGAGAGATTCCTGTTGTTTGGGGTCCAGGCGGAGATTCAAAATGCAGAGAGAGGAAGGGGAGAGAGAAAAGTAAGCACTTGGGGATGTCTCTCCTGAGCTTAGCCAGCTTCTCCCATGGACGTGTCTGTCTCCCACCCCGGGAGAGGATGGTGATAACCGTGCCTGTTCCACAGAGGAAGTTTGCGAGTCCCCTGTGCCAAGGCAGGTATAAGAACAGATTCAATGTCCAGTATTGATGTCTATGGCTTATAGGCCAAGAAATGATCTAAAAATAAATGGGAAGAAATGTTTTCATTTTATTGCTTTTGAGAATGCTGCTATGGTGATGCTGATTTCTTCAAAAATATCTTTAACAAAAATTATGTTTATCATGTACAACCTGTTTTGAAGTATGTGCACTGTAGAATGGCTAAGTTGAATTAATTAACATTTGCATGACTTCACATGCTCATCATCTGTTTGCAGTGAGCATGCTTAAAATCTGTACTGGTATTTTTCTTGGGTCAGAATACCTGATACCCACAACTTAAAGTAGGGGAGGTTTGTTTTGGCTGTCTCAGAGGGTTCCATCCATGGCTGGCTGGCTCCAAGACAGAAAAATGACTGTGGGGAGGCCTAGTGGGGGGAAGCTGCTCACTTTAGGAGAGCCAGGAAGCAGGGCAGGGAAGAACCAGAGGCAAATGGCCAGAGGCCAGGTAGAGTCCCCAGGGTCAGGCGCCCATGGCCCACAGAGACTTACCCGGAAGTGTGCGTCACTAACCTCCCAGGCTGCCTTCAAGCCAGAACAGTCCAGCAAGAAGAACTGTCTCAATACTCTTAGTGAGTTTCAAGCATCTAATGTCCTGTTATTGCCTATAATCACTGTACAATAGATCTCTCAAACTTATTTCTCCTAACTGAAATTTAATGTCCAGAAATTGCTTGCGAGTCTCTAAACACATAGTCTTTAGCTTGTCTAAGGGGAAATACATCGTTGCCTGATTTAGTGCCAATTAGTGATAAGTATAATTGGCCAGCCATATTAGTGGCACTGAGATCCAGGGTCTGTGTAAAAAGCATTATATGCATTTTTCTTAATATATGGGAACAAACACGGAATACATCTATAATCTATTATATCGTTGAGTAATTAATGACAGCTCAGTGTGGCTGAAAATGGTAATAAAGGATAAACTGCCTCTTTTGTGTGTTCATGTCCTCCTCCATTAAAAACATTTTTTTCCTGTACACTGCATTCTTCCCTTGAGGAAATGAGGATGGGTACCTTAGATAAGCAGAACACCTGAGCAGTCAGACCACCAGTGTTGGAGTTAAGCCAACCAGACTCAGGTCCTTGATCCAGTGCTTGTGAGTCCTTGAGCAAGAATCCTTACCTTTCTGAGTTTGTTGCCTATAAAATAGGAGTGACCAGTGCACCCTCCTCGTGAGACAAGTAAAATTCACACACAGCAGGCCTTTGTGGGTTGTGCTACTTCATAATCAAAATGTTTGGAAAAATATTGTGCCTGTACTGAACATGTCTGAACTTCTTATTCTTTGTCATTATTTCCAAAAGAGCAGTATAACAATGATTTACATAGCATCGGCATTATATTAGTTATTATAAATGATGTAAGGGTAATTAAAGTTTATGGGAGAATGTGTATAGGTTATATGCAGATACATGCTATTATAAAATAGCATAGTAGTTTTCTGTGGGGTCCTGGAACCAGTTCCCTGAGAACAATGAAGGAGGTGTATATCCAGGCATAGTATAAAAGGCTCTGAAAGTCCAAGAACATGAAAAGCAGACTCACAATAGCTATCAGGACACAGTAGGTGGTGCCAAGCACAGCGGTCTGCTCTGGGTGGTGGTGCCAGGAGAAGGTGAGAAACACCTCAGTGGTAAGTGGTGAATAGACCTCTGAGTGAGCAGATTATTCGGTGGGTAAGCAGAGGCCAGTGATTCAGGATGGGAGATACTGTGAGCCAAGTTCATGGAACATGTGAAAAGGTAATGTATAGGAGGTTTCAGTTGTGTCTTGGGAGGAAACACAGAATTGGGGTCTGAGAATATAGGTGAGACTGAGGCTGAGGACCCGCTATAGTTTTAATACTCTTATACTTTCTTCTTGTGCGTCCATTCAAGATTACTTTTGCATGATTATGGTATTAAAAGGACATTACTTAATTTTTGTGTATTTATTTTATCCAGTGTAAAGGTTTTCGATGTACTTGTCCAATGAAACTACCATCTTAAAAAGGTCAATATCAGATTTGTCTGAACCAAAATTAATATTTAATAAGATTATTAATCCATGATGTTTTCAAATATGTATACATTATATAATGGCTTCATGGAGCTAATTAACACATATTTCTGTTATAGTTGATCATCTGAACCTCACAAATTTGGAACCCATAAAATAAGCAAGCAAACAAAAGGCCAGAACACAAAACAATGTTAAACGATTGAAACTTTAAAGCACTCTCTAGGCAACCAGCTGTGATCTGGGAAACCAGAACCATGAGTTCAGCCAACCAGGTAGACAGGGGCAGGAGAACTTCAAAACACCTCTGAAAGCTGAGTATTTCCAAGGGGATAACCACACAGACAATTTAGCAAGAAGGGAGACATTCCAGCTTTATTAGCATTTGGGGGGTTCATCCATATGTAGGGAAGTGGAGACAGTAAGATATATTTTGTGGGTATTTTACCCAGAATGGTTAACATGGTGAAGTATCTGTGTTAGAACAGATCAGCCTTTGGGATTTGGAATAGTCAACATTTATTTTCTTACCTCACTCCCAAGAAACCATGTATGATTATGATGTTTAAGCCTTGCTTAGTGGAAGCCTGGATTTCTCTTACTCTCTCTCAGCATAATATCTACATCTTATGAATTGTATAGGCCTGCCAATGCAAAGGAGAAAGTAATTGAAACCTCTAACAGGATAGTCTTGCATCTAAAAAACAAATGAAAGATTCTGCAAGTCAACGTGGCATTTGGTGGAAAGGGTGAAAAAGCAGAGAAATGTAATTATCCTCAATGTCTATTGTAAGGTACATTTTTCCTATGTTCACACAAGAATTGAAATGATTGCTTTGCAAAATGAGTTACTAATAAATCACACAGCATAGGAACATATACATTCATTTCTCCTCTGCATTTCATTTTTCTGAAAAAACTTAAATAGCTACAGTATTTCTCTGTTTTTTAAAAATTCACCCTTGGAAATCAGAAGCTCAGGACATATGTGTTTAAATTTACATGTTTATTATAATTTTAAAAATCATTTATTTTCAAAATATTAACACATAACCTGATGTTGTCAAATTTAGAAATATTCCAATGGAAACAAAAGGAAATAGTTAGCTTTATGCTCTTTGAGGAATGAAGGTGTGCACACAAGAGTAGAATCACAGGTTTATAGTACAAGTTTGTTAGATAATGTTTAGCTTTTCAGTGGGACACATTTTACATGTGGTGTTTTATGAACAGCCAGTATTGAGAGAAGAGATACCCTTGTTGCTTCAGCTCCCCACTGGTTTGGTTTGAGCATGGACAGGGTGAATGATGGTGAGCATTTAGACCTTGTTAGATACTTAAGGTTGGAGACCATGAAGTTTGCATCCCTGGAATGGAGAATTGGTGATTCAGTCTTGTCCAAAGGGCTGCCATCCATTTCCTAGCAGAAAGCACGATGCCACACCAAGGTCACAGGGACAGAAAATACAGCTTCTCAAGAAACCCTGGTTGACAAGATGGCTACAGTCCAAGTGACTCCTGCAAATACCAGTTTCCAAGGAGAATCAAGGCACACACAGCAGCCAGCAGAACTCTGTTTGTGTTGCTGTCAGACCAGGAACCATCTCTTGGAAATCAGAAGCTCCTCTCTGTCTAGGCAACAGGAAGCTTTAATATACTGTCTTTTTTCACATCATTTGTACTAGCTGCCTTGACCTTCAGATCGCTTCATCTTTTCTAACTGGCATAAAGCTTGCTCTGACTGTTGGATGTCCTTCTGGCATATCTGGTTCCTAGGAGGAGATTAAATATTTAATTTAATGGGTTTTGTTGAGTCCTTGTAGTGTTAAGGATCTTTACCAGAGTGGTTTACGGAATATTGAGATAGACCCCGTGTAGCACCAGTTCCCAGGAGAGTCGCCTTTTGGGAAATGTTATCTTTTGTTTTAATGAGGGGTACATTCACTTGATTGATATAACAATGACCTGGAATAATTAAAGCAGTTTTTAGAAACATCTAATATGAAGAAATAATAATAACATATGAGGTACACAATAATACATAATATATGATAAAATTTTAAAATTGCAATTATAATAAACGTATTCGTTGCTAAAGATGTGACAGCATTTTAGGTACTTGATTTCACTTAACTATGCCCACCTAATGCTATGGGTTCCATTGATCCTCTTTTCTGTAATACACAAAGTGAGGTTCTGATAAGCTACCTCATGAAACTTGTAACTCTTAAGTGGTAGAGTGAGGAGTTGAGACAAGTTGGACCCAATACTGAGATTTCTCTTGAGTATTGTGATCCACAAGCAGATGAAATTAAAATGCAGCTTCTGAACTATCACAGCAAATTATTTCATTCTTAATATCCACACATGTTCATTGTACCATGTTTTCTCAAGAGGTTGATATGCTAATTGAGGACTGGCCTCCTCCTCCTCCTCCTCCTTCTTCTTTCTGAATTTGAATCCTCCATGTAGCTGACATGGAAAAGTGGCTATATATGGTGTGGATCAGACATAGGGGACACAGGACAGAAGTGGGGTAGAAAGAGCAGGGAATGCTTCTGTGGGATTCAGTTTCCAGTTCTGGCCACTCTTTTGGTTGACCTTGAACTAGAACATCATATTAAGCCACTGCATTCCTGCTCTAGCCTACCTCCCTCTCAAGGTTATGCTAGGCAAGGAAAAGACCCAGTACAAGCAACACCAAGAACACAGCATGGAATACAATCCCGAAAGAGTCTCAAGACATGAAAGTCATCAAATGGTAGCTGTATTGTTCAAATAGGAAAAACTCGGTTTTTTGTTTTTGTTTTTTTGCATAGAAACTGGTTGACCATGAGCTGCTCTGGGACTGAGTGGGCCTAAACTCACTTTTCCACCTCCCACCTTCCTTTTCATCAGCTCAGTAGCTCAACTTGAGTGCACTAAATTCCAATTTGGTAATTGCATCCTTAAATCTTTTAATGAAGGTGTTTATCAGTGTATAAATAATTGCTCAGTAATTTTGTATTTGCAAACTGCATCCTGGCTGTTTATGCTACTCTGAGGTTCTTCCAGTGGAAGGTTTTGGTCCCCTCAAGCTCTTGTGGAAGTCGGGGGGGGGGGGGTTTCCACAGCCCAGAGAACAGCACATCAACACCATCCCCACCTGGGTTCACCTGGGCTCCCTCCCAACACTGGCCTCTGTGTGTTTCACCTGCTGTTTATGAACCGAGGGGCATGGCCCCTTTGTTACAGTGCAAGTGCTGTGATACTGATCCTCATCTGGGTTACATGCTGGGACTTTGGGCCTGCACAGTTGTTCTCCCACTTCTTGCTGGGCAATATCCATGTCAGCACAAGGAGGGCACACATCTCTGGTCCTTTGGGGCTTCTTATGGCCCCTTGCCCCACTGTGCTTTTGGTTGAGTCCCTTAATTATTCACAGAAGTGCTGGGGATCATCCAGGAGACTAAAAGCCAAAAGTTAAATTTTAACAAGCACAGAACACAACACTACACAGTTCAGTTGCTGTACTGAGGTGCCTCTGGGAGAAGCCTGCTTAACTGCTGGGACTGACATGCTTGGAGATAGAAGCCAGGTGACAAACCCAGGCTTCCTAGGCTGTAGTTTTTCTCCTGGTCCTATTTTTTCAGCTCACCAACTTGTAGAGACACTTGGCAGGTGACAGATACTCAAGAAGTATTATTCTTAAAAGCTGCGCTGAAATTATTCCCCTCATGTAAAAACAAGTGCGATTTACATCTAATATGGGTAATTACTTTTACAGTTAATTAAAAGCGCTCTCATTAAACCCCTACTGTGATGCCAATGCATAACATTTATTTGCAAACAGACCTTTGGTTTGAGCTCACCTCAGCACAGGGCTTCTACCTGAGAGGGGCTGCCTTGCTGGTATCAGATTTAATTGTGCTGAGCTGGCAGCCCTCCTGTTACTGGGCCTTTCTCTTGCCAGCTTGTTCCTGTTGGCACAGCTGGAGTCAGAGATGCTTAAACTTCTTGTCCCCAGATATCCTATTAGATGGTAGCTTGGTTAAAGAGACCCTGAAGGTCAGGGTGCAGAACTTAAGTCCAGATGAATGCTTTGCTTGAGGTTCTTTGCATTAAAGCTTGGTTTGAGGACTGTTTTGTGATTCAAAGAAAGTATCCTCCCACAAACCATGTACCCTAAAACTCTTTAACTTTCCTCCAAATATTTATATTTGTATTTGCATCATATTAGCTTTGCATTCTCACCTCCGCTACCTAGGCCACAACCTTAGTTCAATTGATTTGTTAGATTTTACTTAGTTTATGTGAGTGGTTGGTCATATGTATGGTTTTAAGTGACACAATTCTTAAATCCTGAGCTATCTTCATATTTAGATCCAAACCATAGTATTTTAGAGTGTCCTGACTTGAAATTGGGATTTGAATCTTAAACACACACGAACAGAAACCTCTTCAAAGTATCACATTTCTGATGAGTAATTGGGGCTTAGTAATTAAAATATACCATTATTTTGAGACTGAGATTTTGAAGGAGCAGAAAGATTATGATATTTGAAGTTAACAAACCTCACAAATCAGATCCTTGCCTCTATTACTTGGGCTTTTCGGTATTTTTGCAAAGTCATTTGCTTCCACCTGCTGGTCACATGTGATAATGCAGGTGCTGAGAAAAGAATGGAAACGTTATCAAATGGATGAAATTATATCACTGTAAACATTTTATACACTTCTTTATGGATCAAATAAGTGACCTTATTTGAAATTTGGTATTTTCAGTTGGGAGAACAATTATTATGAAGGACTTGGCTGAAAGTAGGGATGATTTCAATTTTCTACCAACTATGATTGTAGGACAGTAGTACAGTTGTAGTCTTTTTCTTTACGTGCATGGGAAAAGGTCTGGTTCTGACAACCAGCCAGGCAATGCCTGAAACTTCTAATAGTGTGAAAACTTACATGTACTATTACTTTCCTATTAAACATCTATGATAAAGTTTAATTTATAATTAGGCACAGCAAGAGATTAGCAATAATAATAGAACAGTTATAACAATATGCTGTAATATAAGTTACGCAGTGTCCCTCTCTGAAAATATCTTATTGCATTGTGGTGCTCTTCTTCTTGATGTCAGATGACCCGGTCTCTCTGTGATGACAGGATATGGACTTGTGGGCTGCAGTGTCATGATACTGTTGATCCGACTGTAGGCATTGCAGATCTCTATTGACCTTGGCTACCGAGTCCCCAGGAAATGAAACTGCCTACATATACTCAGTTTATGTAGAGCTGAGGAACAGTTGTTACACTTAATGAGGCAATTGACTTTGGACCATTGATTTACATATTCAAACTCAAGAACTTTATATGACATAGGAGAAAGTAGAAAATACATGAGGTGACCAGAAGGATTTCTATGTCTCTGATTTTAATTATCAAAGTGGTGTAAAGCTTCTTCCTCACACTCTTTGAAACTCAGTTTGTTCATCTGCTAAATGGAGGCATTGGGCCAAAGGGTCCCTATGGCTTTTGTTCCTTTTTAAAGTCTGAGTCTTTGTGAAGGTTATATAAATTAAGAACTTGGGTTGCAGATAATCACCACGGTGTTCTAAGCCCTAGCGTTTAACTCTCATCCATTGACTTGTTTTCAATTAGAAGTAATTATTATGTTCAGAACAATTGGAAATATAAAATGCAAACTATCACAAAGATTGTGTTCACAAAGGAAACCATAACATCGACTCAGGATTTCCAACACACTTTCAATTCTTTTTGAAGTGTCACATTGAAATGTAGTTTTTATTAATGTTATAAACTGTCCTGCCATAGTATTTATTTGCTGTTTGAAGGAGAAGAGAAAAACACCTGGAATTCCTCCCCAGTAGAAAGGTAGTTGATCACAAGCCTGATTTGAGTTTGTCGCATGAGCTGTTGGCTGTGTCTGGCCCCACTCCTGAGAGATGACTTTAGCTGCACGTATTTCCTGTGGGACTCTCTCTCTGGGACTCTGAGTATCACAGTGCAGGAAAACAATGCTTTGTCCAGGATGTATGATCCTTATTTAACTCTCATGTCTTTTCTTGCCATAGCTTTTCCAGTATTGATGACCAAAATCATCAATTAGGAGGGTCCAGAGTCTGTCTTGTAAAATCATCTGGGCTCATGAGTGTAGCAGTCAGAAATGACCCTGGGATTTCTGGTCAGGGATTTTTTTTTCTCCCTTAGGGCTTGAAGCACCTGGCTTTGGACTCAGGACCATACCTTTCTTTTCTCAGTAACAAGTAGCCAAAGACCAAGTGAGAGAGGTCAGCACAAGAAACCCCTTGAGGTTCCGTATTGGTTCACTGTGGCCATTTTTTAAAAAGTGACCACAACTGGGTACCTTTTAACAGCAGATGCATTTTCTCACACTTCTGGAGGCCAGAAGTTTGACATGAAAGTGTTGACAGAGCCACGCTCCCACCAAAGGCTCTATGGAGTTTTCTTGCTTCTCAGAGCTTCAGGTAGCACTTGTGACCTCATCATTCTAAGTTCTGCCTCTTTTGACATGGCCTCTTCTGTCTCTTAAAAGAATATTTGCTATAAGATCACACCCCCCATAGTCTAGGACATTCTGATGCTATAATCCTTAATTATCTGCAGAATAACCCATTGAAAATAAGCTCACATTCACAGGTTAGGGGAAGGATATATCTATATCTGTATCTGTATCTATATCTGTGTATGGGAAACTACTATCTAAGCCAATACAAGTTCTCACTTCTACATGCTTTGAGATGCCTCAAATCTCATTGGTAGGCATTTTTTCACCTATTCATGAGGATCTCAACCTTCTGGCCTTTTGGAGCTTGGCATGATGCTGATACACAATTCAAAGTGTGCACTGTGGGCACAAATAACTCAGGCCAGCAGCAGCCCACATGCAAAGTGCAGAAGCAAAGAAACCTTTTCAGGAGAGAGAAAGAGCTTCTGAAGAGAACAGATATGTGAGGGTTTTGATGTCTGAGAGCTGGAAGAACTCAGAGCTCTGAAGAGAACATTCTAAACATAGATCTGTTTTTAAGTTCTTAGTGCTCTGTGCAGAATCTGGTTTCAAAAAGACTTTTGGAGGATGTCATCAGTGAGAGGCAACACTTATTAATGATTTGCTGTGTGCTAAGACAATTGCATGTGCTGGACATGCCTCCCAAAACAGTATGGCAGCTGATACTGCTGTTGTCCTTATTTTACCGATGGGGAAACTGAGTCACCCTACATCAGCCCTGATTGTTCAGGGGCCCACAACTGGTGTGACTGAGCCCATTAGTGAAAACCAAGCAGAGTGCCTTCATTGTCTATGCAGAATTCTTTCTCTTGAAAGGAACGGAGTCCCATCTCAGTGGTTTGCCGACTACTGGGAACAGAGTGCAGGCTTCTGTAGGGAAATTGATTGCTTGCCAATGAGTGTGCAGTTCCAAATTCGTACTTAACACTTAAGTAGTTGAGCTGTTTTCCAAGTGAAGCCATCAAGTGGGGCTGAAGTACTTATGCAACTACTCTGGTTCGGAAAAGGTCAGATTGGAACCCATCTAGAGACATATGCTCTGTGCAGAGCAATCCGAACAATAATTTGTCCGCGCCAAAGTGACATTTTTCCAATTTGAGTCCTACATTGTTCAGAAGCAAGCGCCATCCCCTGGGGCGCCTCCTGCATAGACCTGCAGTGGATGACAAACCCACAGTATCATCTAAATAAAAAATCTAGCACAGGTTTAGTAAATGAATCCTGACACAAATAAATTGAATAATCTTAGGGAAATGGCCAGAGCTCTGATTGTGCCAGATAGCTTTTTTTCTGTCACTCGCATGGGTCCTAAGCACAGATTAAAAACAGAAATCTGCCTCTGGTTTATTGATTTTGTTAGTTCGTTGATTAACACCTGCCACTTCTGCATGGGTAAATCAGTGTCGGATATGCACCCTTCCCCAGAAAGCACACATCTTTTCCGTGGTGGAGGGAAAGAAAAGGGGGGGGGGTCCCACCCAGTCAGAACACGGCAGAGCAGGCACAGAGCTACCTTTCCTCACTTCGCTCCTAAATGGCATTGTCTGGGTTGAAAAATAACCCATGGTTTTTCTCTTTTCTGTACTGAGTTCACCTCTACTTTCTCTCTGTGTGTCCTAGCAGATGAATTCAGGGAGAGCTCTCAGCAACAGTAAGGGGCCCAGTAAAAGGCTCTCAGTGTTTTGCTGGCTCAGAGTCCTAAGAGCTTAGCCAGTAAATTAGAAGCATGAGCAAGAAAGGAAAGAAGAAAGACACCTTGTGGAGACAGGATCGCGGGACCTAGAATCGTGTCCTACAGGTGATTTGGGAAGCTTAGTCAGTACAGGCTGCCCTAACACAATGGCATAGACTGGATGGTAAAACGCCAGATGTGTATTTCTCAGGGTGCTAGAGGCTGGGAAGTGAGATCAGGGTGCGGGATGGTCAGGCTCTGGAGAGGGGTGTCCTGGGCTTGTAGACTGTGTTCTCTGGCTCTTGCTGAGCATGGGGCGTGGGAAGGGAGACAGGAAGGGAGATCTCTGGAGTCTCTTAGAAGGACACTCGTCTGTTGCATCAGGGCCTCACTCTAATGACCTAACCTAGCCTTAATTACATTCTTCAAGGCCCCATTTCCAAATCCAGCCACACTAGGGGTTAGAACTTCAACATAGGGACTTTATGGAGGCATTCTTTCAGTTCACACCCCCAAGTACAGTGTGGATTCTGATGCAGGCTCTCTGGGGTAAGGCTGGGCAGGGGGCGCAGTGAGAGACTCTCAGTGATCTGGTAGTTTCGGAGGTACAGACCCCCTTTTGATGAGTTAGTTCCTCACATCATCCCCTTATTACAGATAAGGGACCTGGGAGTTTGGTTGGTAAAGACATCTGCCAGAGATAACACAGCTGTTCAGCAGTAGAGCCATGCTACGAATGTGGGGTCTGATGTCTGGACTAGAACCCGTAACCCCAATCCAGTCTTGCAGCAGTTTTGCCCTAAATCCGCAGCCGGATGCTTGGGACTGGGGAGCTTGCATTGACAGCCCAGGGCCCTCAGCCAGACTTTTCCATTCAGGAGGTCTGTGGTGGAGTCCCTTGAGTATATCCATTTTCCCCTACCTTATTTATTTTTTATCTATTTATTTATTATTTAAAGTGACAATTATAAATTGTATACAATTATGATGTATAGCACAATGTCATGAAATGTGTATGCATTGCAGAATGGCTAAATAGAGCTAATTCATGTCTGTATTATCACAGATTTCTAGTGTTATGGTGAGAAGAATTAAAATCTGTTCTCTTAAGGATTGTCAAGAATATAGCACATTGTTATTAACTGTAGTCACCATGTTGTTCAATAGAGCTCTGGAACTTAGTCCTTCTGTCTTACTGAAATTTTGTCATTTGTGCTTGGATTATTTCCCCAATATAATATCTTCCAGGTTCATCCATGTTGCCCCAACTGACACAATTTCTTTATTTCTAAAGGGTGAATAATATTTTACAATGTCTATATGCACCTTTTTTTAATCTGTTCCTCCTCATGGTCAGGTTGTTTCCTGGCTTAGCTATGTGAATAGCACTAAAAGAAACATGGTAGTGTAGTTGCCTCCTGGATGCACCGATTTCATTTCCTGTGTATTATACCCAGAAGCGGGATTGCTTTATCATATGTTTGTTAAAATTTTACTGTTTTTGAGAATCCTATAAAGTTTCCATGATGATTGTGAAAATATACCTTTTTAAGAGGTTCTAAGCTAATGTTGTTGGACTGGGAACTTTAAGAACAGAAGTTCTGCTGGAGTTTTTTGTTATTGTTGTTGTTTTTAATTTTATTTTAGCTAATTTTGTGTAAATATCCTTCTCCACCCTCCTCAGTACAAGGGAGGGAGTGAAACACAGGGCACGGCTTATGTAGCCTCCCCAGTCACCTTCATTAAAAAATAAATTCCCTTAAAGGATTGGACAGCTCCTGGTATTAGGAGCCTCTGTCCATTAGAGGCATAAGCTCCATCCTTGTGTGATATGGGTAAGTTATGCAGCTGATCATCTCAATTTTCATTTAAAAAAATAATGTACACCAACTATTCTTGGTGGTTGGGAATTTAGAAACAGCTGTGACAAATATCTAGTGAAGTTCTGCCACTACAGATGTTTCCAGTCATTGCTTACTGCGTCAATCCCAATGTGCTGATAGGAAAAGTCTGTTACAGATAAAGTGAAACATTTGCTGTGTAAATCTTTGCCTTTTGATGTTGTCCCCCACTGATCTACCCTCTATTCCCATGGTCCTAAAATGCGCTCTTTGTAAATCACCATGGCAATGGCTTCCCACCTGGATTAGCCCTGCCCTAAGGACACATCAGTATGGTGAAACCAAGGATTCAGTGAGAAAATAAGCATTTCTATAGACTACTTATCCAAAGTGGAGCTAGGGTCCTTTGCAGACCCCTGCTCCATCCTGCTGCCTCCTCCTCTCCATTTCTCACGAGCCTGGACCGGAACTCTGGAACGGCCTTTATCTGCCATCGTCCCCTCGCCTCCACATCATGTTGGCTCCTTCTAGCATCTGTCCCCTATCCCTGCCTCCCTCCAGCCACCATACTTGTGTCTTCCTGCGTGCAGTACCACTTAAACTGCTCTCTCTCCCTGCTTGTGTCCTTAGCTCTTGACTGCCTGTTCTGTTAAAACAGAAGTCAGATTGTGCCTGTCCTCATTTTCGAGGACCTGAGTGACAACAAGTGTGGACAGAGATGTGGCAACATTGGAACTTTTACACACTGATAGGGGGAATGTAAAGGAGGACAGCTGCTGTGGATAACAGTGTTTCCTTCCAAAGTTAAACCTAAAGGGTACCTGGTTCACCAATTCCACTTTCAGGTAATCACACTAAAGAATTGAAAGAAGAGACTTGAGCTGAAACATGTATGCCCTTGCTCTTGGCAGGATTATTCATCAAACCTAAAAGGTGGGACCAACCCAAGTGACTGCTAATGGATGACACTTTCGAGTAGATACACAAAGTGTGTAATATTCACACAGTGGAATATTATGGAGCCATGAAAATGAATGAGATTGTGCCACATGCTACAACACAGATGAACCTTCAGGACATTACATTAAGTGAAATAAGGCAGTTGCAAAGGTACAGACACTATATCATTTCACTTGCATATATGTTACAGACTGAATGATGCCCCTCCAAAATTTGTATGTTAAAGGTAAACCGCGAAAGTGTCTGTGCTTGGAGAATTGTCCTGTAGGGAGGTAATTAAAGTTCAGTGAGGTCTTGAGGATTGGATCTTGACCTGCTAGAACTAGTGACCTCATAAGAAGAGGAAGAAACACTAGAGTTCTCTTTCTTTCTCTGAGATCCTGCAGAAGAGGGTCTGTGAGAACAAGACTGGAAGAGAGGCCGTGCCAGGAACTAAGCCTGGTTGTACATTGCCCTTGGACTTCTAGCCTCCAGAATTGTGAAAACAGACTTCTGTTGCAGACGTTAGCCCTCC